CCCTTTTAACTAAACTATACTTTTTATATGGTTTATTCAAATACTTTTTAAGCTTTGAGGGATCAATAGGAAATGTAACATTTGGTTGTAATGCCTTTTCTAATTTTGCTTTAATAGTATTAGTCTCTTTTTGCCAAATGTGACATGTTTCACAACCGAATCACGATGGTTCTTCATCCTCCTTTTTAACTTTTTGAATATCTATCGTAGATTGCTTAGAGCTTTCATTTTCTTTTCAGTTTCTAAAAACTTAGCTTCTATGTGTGAAAAGATCCTTTTCTTTGAAGCTAACTTTTTAAAAGCACATATTGCTTCTCTATGTAGATTTTCAAAAGCTATTAGTAACTCAATATAAGACAATTTTTCAACATGTTCATATTTAGAATGACTTACATTCTTTTTCTTCTTTTAACGTTGATGGATCGAGAGATAAACATTTGCCTCTACTTCACTATCACTTGAATTTTTATCACTTGAGGAATAACTATCACCTTTCCAAGCAATATAGGCTCTTCTAGACTTCCTAGATTTCTTGTGTTGACCTTTTCTCTTATCTTTGTCAAGCAATGGATAATCTGACTTATAATGGTCGATTTTGCCACAATTGTAACATGAACCTTACGATTTTCCTTTCTTATTATCATCATCTTCTTTGATGAGTTTGATTGTCTTTGAAATTTGATGAGGTTTTTGTCGGAGTACTTTACACCATTTATTTTGATATATCTATTGTAACTTTTCACAAAAAGCCCCATTTCTTCATCATTCAAGTTCTCGTCGTCACTTATTTCACTATCACTTTGCTCATTTGTTGAGGACCTCGAACTAGAAGCCTTTAGAGCAATATACTTCTTTTCTACCTCATTTTCCTTTACTTTCTCCTTCTTTAGCTTCTTATCATGCTTTTTCTCATGTTTTTCCAAGCAAGTGAATTCTTTCTCATGTTCTTCAAGTTTTCCAAATAAAGTTGTGAGGTCTAATGTTGTAAGATCATCTGATTCTTTGATTACAGTGACCTTAGGTTTCCATTCCCAGTTAAGACATCTCAAAACTATATTAGTAGTAATTTCATTGGAAATCAGTTTCCCAAGTGCATTCAAATGGTTTTTGAGATGAGTGAACCTCTTTTGCATGTCGGCAATGGATTCACCATGCTTCATACAAAATAGTTCAAACTCTTGATTCAATGTATTGACTCTAGCTTGTTTGACTTCATTAGTTCCCTCATGGGCAACTTGTAATGGGTCCAACATATTTTTAGCGGTCTCACAATGAGAAACACGATGATATTTATCCTCCTAGTGACCATAACTTCTTACCATTTTCATCCCATCGTGCTTCCGGTTTAAGTATGACAACACCTTCAACATTGGACATTGTAATTTGATTAGGACCATTCTTGATGGTGTTTCATACTTTCTTTTTAATCGAGTTAATATGGATACACATACAAGCTTTCCAATAATCATAGTTTTCACTGATAAAAATAGATGTTCCATTGTATGCCCCTTTAGGTTCAAAAGTCATAATCTAATAAGCATTTTTGAAGCACGAAATGAACCAGAACTCTTGATATCACTTGTTAGACGAAATCAACTTATCTAGAGGGGTGTGAATAGACCCCACATTAAAATTTCTTAAAATATATTTTTAAAAAGTGTTAACTATGGACAGTAAAAAACGATATTAGATCAAAATATCGTCTAAACCAAACCGTTATCGAAAAACTTATATATGCGTAAAACCAATATGAGATGCAATGAAAGTGATAAGTCACTTAGCCAATATATTTTCACAATAGCTCGTATATGATCACAAATGCAATATATTTCCAATGGAAATTATAACAACAAACAATGCTAAGCAAATGATCAAACACTTGGTGTACAACCAATTTTTCATATTTTCCTTTTGGTTTTGTTGATATGAAAAACTAATTACAATCTTTTGGATTGTAATCTAATAAACAAAACACTTTCAAGTTTAATAAGCAAAGATTTTTCTATACATATCGAGAGAGGGAAAGAGAGAGAGAGGACTGGAAGATTTGTTTAGGTAGTTAACCAATCGTTCTCGCTATGACTACGTCTTCCCCCAATTCCGTTCGGAATTGAGATAATCAATCTTATTTTGAAAAAAATTGTTTACAAGAG